ACCGAGTAATCCGGCCATAGGTGTGGAAGAGTGAGGGCATAGTAAGAGAGGGCAGAAAGTAGGGAACAATCCGTGAGTGAAATTCTTTGTCGGGTTTTACTCTACGTAGTTAGACGTTAGGATTCCATCGAGACAACATACTGTTTAACAAATCAAGTTATTATTTAATATATACTGTCACGTGGTTGACTGTAGACGAGGTTTGCATTCGCAATTGGATTTAGTGAGCACATAAAACTAAAAGTAAAGGTAAAGCTATCCCTGCAACAGGCCGTGAAGCCCCATAGAGTTGTGACATGTTGAGGTTCCCACATTATCTAGACAATCGGCTCAAAGATGGCGGTAAGGTTGTCAGCCTTACGCGCCGGCCGCGCTTTACTCCCCAGGAAAATTATTTAATTAATTCCTGGTACTCATTTCTGTCAGAGGCTGGGTCAACACCAGGGCCATAGTGCAGCTGGAAGGATTAGGTCAATTGAAAAAAGAGATCCAATGACCTTATAAGGACTTGAACCCGCGACCTTCCGGCTTGTAGCATAGTCCCTCAACTAACTACGCTACCGTGTACCCCAAAAGTTAAGCTATCCCTGTAAGAGGCCGTGAAGGCCCAGAGGGTTGTGAGACGTTGAGGCTCCCACATTATCTAAACAATCGGGCGGTAAGGTTGTCAACCTTACGGACCGACCGCGCTTTATTCCCCAGGAAAATTATTTAATTAATTCCTGGTACTCATTTCTGTTTGAGACTGAGTCAACAACAAGGCCATAGTGGGGCTGGAAGGTGAATTTAAAAAAAATCCAGTGACCTCATCGGGACTTGAATACAACGTAACTACAAATAACTACGACAGTGTCATTAAGCTACACACTCCAAATATATGCACTACAAATACAAAACCTTCTCAGTCTTCACCAGCCGCTGTTTGGTAGCGGCTTCCAATGGCGGACTTTTCCGTTCTTCTAGGTTCCCAAAATGTCTCCGGCCTCAGATACCAGCTCTTTACTTCTCACAACTGAAATTCTCAGCTGACTCAACTAACAACTCAAGTAAGATTTACAGTTACTTTACGACTGGCGGCTTATCGCCAATTAGTTTGTCTTGGCGACAAACCCCTAGAGACCCACAACCAGAGATTTTTCTTTTCCAAGTGAATGCTTGCGGCAATAGTCCTTATGTAACATCCTCTCCGATGAGGAGATGAGGTTGTCTCTTATGAATATGCTTGGCCTTTGGTCAAGTGTACATTTCGCACATATAGCTCGTTATTGAAAAATGTTCTTTTTGCATTCTTTACAAGTCCTCTGTCAGTACAAGCTTTGCAGAACAGATCATGTCTATCTTACGTATCTTATGCTACAACGGCAGCTTAGTCACTTAACGGTTGTAACCTTCGTCAAGTGTACATTTCGCTCATATAGCGTGTTATTGAAAAATGTTCTTTTTGCATTCTTTACAAGTCCTCTGTCAGTACAAGCTTTGCAGAACAGATCATGTCTATCTTACGTATCTTATGCTACAACGGCAGCTTAGTCACTTAACGGTTGTAACCTTGACCACTACCAAGTTTCAGCCCCTTATGTTTTCTGTCTAGCTTCGCCTTGCTGTCACCAACAACTCAGAGTCAGTCAGAGTTACTTTATGGTTGGCGGTTTACCTCCAGGTAGTTCGTCTTGACGACAAGCCCCTTGAGACTCACTACCAGTAACTTCATTTTCCGACTGAAAACTTGCGGTTGTAGTCCATATGTTAACATCCTCTTTGACGAGAGCATGTATCTGTTGTTTCCAATTGCTGCTGGTCCTCGCCAGCCAAGCCATTCTCAGGTCTGAGTCCCACGGGACTAATGACCACACTTTACTGTCTCAGATTCGAGACTCCCCCAACCTGGAGGACGGGATCCCCGTATTTATATCCCCCAGGGACAGGATGGCCAACTCAAAGTCAAAGTCATATTGCGACTGACGGTCAGTCAGTCAGTAAGTCTTGGTGTCAAGCCCCATCAGGGACTCATGATAAGATTTGTATTACCGTTTGACAGTTACGGTCTTGTTCTTGTGGGACGCCTTCTCTGACCAGAGGACAAGTCTGTCTTCTGTATATGCTGCTGGTCCTTGCCAGCGTAGTCTTTCTCGGATCCGAGTCCCTTAGGACTCGCGACCATGTGTTACTCTCTCAGATTTGAGACTTCTTTCGCCGCCTCCTACGACTCGCAGGGCCACGGTGGAGGTATTCGAACCCGCCTCTATACGGGTTGGATACCTGAACTACTGGTTCTCGTTGTATAGTCCAGGCACGGACGTAAAGAAAACTCTTTTCCATTATTGCATGTTCCCTCGTTGCCGGAGAAACCTATCCAGAAAGCTGTTCCCTATCAACGGCTGTTGTACTTTCGCCTGTTTACACAAGTGTTACTTGGCAATGGGTCTGTCAATATGATTAGCTCTATGCTTCGGGCGTTTTCCCTGTCGCTACACATTAAATCAGAGGTCGAGTGGACGAGCTGAAGAATGATGGCTTTCAACTGCTCCAGCGGACACCCCGCAATTCACAATTCAGCACCCGCGTCATTGGCATTATGGAGTCGCTTATGTCTGCGATCACATAATTAAATTATGTATGAGGCAGGCAAACTAATCTAAAATCACAAAAATCTAAAAGCCGTGGTCAGGAATACAACCGTTCGTATGACTAAGCTTCCGTTACGCCATGCCCTGCCATACAAGTTTGGAATGACAGAGGGCATCTGTATCTATTGTGAAGACTGTGCGTATTGTTATGTAATGACCAAGTGTATATTGTGTACACGCATTACTGTGACCATGTGCTCTAGGAGTGCAACAAATTGTGTGCAGTAGAAGCCACACTTACTTTAAGTGACAGACCCCTCCTTGACTGCAGAGAAATTGGTATGTACCCGTACGTTGCTGTCTCGCCACCAGAATGCAGGCCACGGTCATAATATAAAGATATTTAATAGATGATTTGAAAGTTTAGCAAAGTTCAGATATTTGGGAAAGACAGTAAAAAATCAAAACTTGATTAAGGAAGAAATTAAGAGGAGACTGACTTTGGACAATGCTTGCTACCATTCAGTCCATAACCCTTTGACTTCTAGGCTGTCTGAAATCGTAAGTACTATAATTTCGCCTGCGGTTTTGTATGGGTCCGAAACTTGGTCTCTAACATTAAGGTAGAACACAGACTGAGGGTGTTTGAGAACAGTGTGTTGAGGAGAATATTTTAACCTAAAAGAGATGAAGTGACGGGAGGTTGGAGAAAACTATAGGAGTATAATGAGGAACATCACAATTTGTACGCTTCGCTACGTATAATTAGAATTATCAAATCAAGGAGGATGAGATGGGCAGGGTATGTAGTATGAATGGGGGGAAAAGAAGAATGCATGTAGGATATTAGTGGGAAAAGCAGAAGGAAAGAGAAAACTAGGAAGACCTAGACATAGGTGGACGGATAATATTAGAATGGATCTTAGATATATAGGACGAGGAAGTATGGCCTGGATTGATCCGGCTCAGGATAGGTGATATTGGAGGGCTATTGTGAACAAGGTAATGAACTTCCACGTTCCGTAAAATGTTGGGAAATTCTTGAGTGGCTGCACAACTTGCAGCGTATCAAGAAGAGCTCAGTTCCATTGAGTTGGCTACACAGACCTCTCCCACTGTCGAGGAAGAGGCCCCACCTCCTAAACTGTAAATGCTATTAACACAGAAGTAGAAATGTATAACACTGGTATATTAATACAATGACTACATTTTGGATATTATTAATAGCCCTATTTTTATTTAAAAATTTCGGAGACTAGACTCTGCCTCCGTCTTCAAGTTAAAATGCCCACCCAGTTGGCCCCATTCAATAGAGTTAGTCCCTATGTCCGGACTCCAGAAGCAACACAAGGCAGGATATATAAATCAGACACAGCATAAACCATCTGCGGGAGATCTGTTACAAATGTTGATTTCTCCCCTGTCTGGACTCCAAATCATTGAAGAGGACTTTAGAAAATTGCAGTTCCGTCCATTCTAAGTGATATGGGAAGGTTCCATTTTTATGTTTGTCTGTACGGGTGTCTCATTAATTTAATAGTTATTGGTACTGGTTCGTTTGCTCTTAGGTTCTGGCTGATATGTAGGAAATTATATCTACTTAAATTTTAATGCTCCGTATTTGTTGATATACGCTTATAACTCTTCTTGCTTTACCTATGATTTTAGAGGTCGATAGACTGCGTAATATTTTCTTTTAGAACTTGATATTATGGCTTCTATTTTAGTTCAACTCTCCTTTTAAGGAAGGGCCTCTACGTTTCAATAGCTCACACCATATACCATCGAATTGTAGGAAACATTACATATAAGGAAGAAACCTTTCGCTTCATAATTCGAGGTACTTCGCCAGCATCTGACAAGATAACTCACTAAAATCCAATGAGAATATCCTTCTCCCAACTGAGAACTGAACCCTAGACCTAGTGAATACGAGAAGCATAACATATTCGTGCACATTTCCTTCTTATTCTGAACTTACTTACCAAATTCACTTTTTAACGTAACATTTATAAAACTGGGGCATTCGGTAGCGTAGTTGTTTCAGGCACTATACTACAAGCCGGAAGGTCGTGGGTTTCATTCCTGATGAGGTCACTGGATTTTTCAATTGACCTAATCTTTCCTGCCGCACTAAGGCCCTGGGGTCGATTCATCCTCTAATAGAAACGAGTACCAGGAATCTTCCTCTGCGTGAAGGGTTGCCGGTCCGTAAAGCTGACAACCTCACCGCCACCTGTGAGCGGATTGTCTAGAAAATGTGGGAGCCTCGACGTCTCGCAACCCTGTGACCATCCAGACCTGTTAAAGGGATAGATTCACCTTTACCTTAAAACATACATGGTAAAATGTGAACGTCATAACAGTGTGCGTTGGATGTAGAGAGAAGTGACTTATACAGGTGACAGCAGCCTGTTCCTTCCTGTGTTGCAGAAGCGATGCTGGTGACACCCTCTGTGCCATGCTCCGAGTGCGTGAGTTCCTTGCTGAGGTGCTGTAGGCTCGGTGCTCCCGGGTGCGAGTCCACGTCGAGTTTCTGCACTCCGTACGCCCCTGGTTACTACACCACCCTGCACACTCCCAGACCTGTCCGCCCATACATGAACAGTAAGTTATACCACGTAGTCTCGGGATGCAAATAAGGTATGCAATATTTCCACAAAATTTGTGAAGGTATAATATTAAATTGGCGGATCTGATGTACGGGAATGCATCGCGCATCAGAAAAGTGGGAATTGTTGATAATATTCTGGTCGGTCGGAAAAACTGAATCGATAAGATAATTCAAGGATCTAAGTGTAAACTGGAGGACAGTATTAAATGGTTATTAGAGTAATATAGCAATGTTTCTCAAACCGTAGCCCGCGGAACATCTGTGCCACCAGATGATCCGTAATATTATATACTGAAAGTAAAGTTGTCTCTGTGCTTAACTAAGTAAACACTAAACCATGAAGACGTATGGGGGAGTGCATGTATAGATTTACCTTTTCTTGACCTCGGCACTGGTTGGAGGTGAGTGGTCAGCTTCACACTCCGGCCTCTTTACCCCCTGTACCCATTAAATAGGAGGCTGGGTGTGTCACGGGGTCGGAGAAGAAACTTATTGACCCTACCGGGACTCGAACGCCAACCCCTAGGTCATTCAGCTTGTAGCCAATCGCTATACCGACTGAGCTAGCCCGGCTCCAAAGGAACTACTGTATGTACGTGTACGAAGTCTCATTTTGTGGTCAACTAGTTGCGATAAAATGACGTCATTTGGAATGTCAAGGTAGTGTGTTCCTCTGAAATGTTAGTATTCACCTACCAGACTACACGGTGTCATAGTAATTCCGGAGGCGAGCAGTTGTAAATACTTGGGAATCATTTTAAGCAGCGATTTAATTTCAGCTGGAAGGCAGTTCATTTTACAATAAGTGTCTTTAAAAAGGGAAATGCTAAAACTAAAATGTAGCCTACACATCACTAGTGAGTCCGATTCTTGAATATGGGGCGGGGGGCTGGATCTTTACACAAGGGACAGATAAATGCGCTAGACCGGGTGCAAAACACAGCGGCTAAATTTGCACGCCATAGAAATGAATCGAAGTGTGAAACCTCAACACAGCGCAGAAAGATAGCTCGCATATGCGCTCCCTTCAAAGCGTACGCGGGAGAACGGACTTAGAAGGCTATAGGTGATAGATTACAAAGACCATGCTATCTGAGCAGGGGCGATCATGACGAGAAAATTAGGAGCAGAAAGCAACGGACAGATATCGGAAAGTACTCCATTGAATATAGGGCCATCCAGCTCTGAACCAACTACCTTCAGATGCTTTAGGGACTCTCTCCTGTAAATCAAGTAGTTTTAGGAAAAAGATTAGGAAAGTGATAAATAAGGGGAAGTGAGTTGAAGTGAAGTATAGTGTTGTGTAGTGAAGTGAAGTGAATTAAAATTAAGTGAAGTGAAGTGAAGTGAAGTGAATTGTGGCGAGGAAGTGAAGGGGGTTTAAGAGTAGTGAAGTTGAATGAAGGGAATATCATGGTGAAACGTGAGTGCATCAGTTCATGACATTTCATTACTGTTACTGTTTAGTGTATAGTATGCTTCTTTTTATTAATATTAATTTATATAATTGCAGTTTTAATTGTATTTGCTTGTATTTATTGTGTATAGTGTGTTCTTTATTGTTTGTGTAGTTTTGTGTGCTGTGTTTTGTTTGAGCGTGGTGTGATACTTTGTGTGTTATGTCTTATTGTAGTACCACTGCCACCGAGTAAAAAACCATTTGCAGTTAAAATAAATAATAATAATAATAATAATAATAACAGTAACATATCAGAAGGCCATAATATGAACCTTCAGACCATCAAACCTTATCCGACTTAAGGGATAAGTCGTTTCTTGTTAGTTCCTTGTCTCGTATTTTGAGGTTCCTGTTCTTATTTACTTCGGGATTAAAAACTTTACTCGCAGCTTCAGTTTCGCCACAAAATATCAACTGTCTCAACTGTATCTCTGCTTATTGTGGTAGGGTCTGAGTAAGAGAGAAGCAGTGTTGTGTAATGAAATTCATAAAAGCCATTTACGAATTACATCTTAAATAGAGACAATGCATTTTCATATAGAAACATGTAACCTCATTTGTTAATCACCCTGTCTGGTTTTATTCACGTAAAATAAACACAATCGAAGTAAGTATTGGTAGCTTTCTAGGCGTTATCCGTCGCCCGATATTCAAAATGTTTCGGGACCTAGAACTGCTGCCGTCCTCAGGTGGGGACACAGGCGCTGACACTGTACTCTGGTTTACAGTCTCGGACAATGGGCAAGTAATGTTAGTTTTAATGCTACACCTCTTTCAGAACCCATCAGAACTGACTAATTAATGAACTGAACAATTTATTATGTAAAGTCCATATAGCACTGCAGTAAACCCTCGTTTATCTGGAGTAACTGGGTTTGGGGGGAGAGGTCGCCCGGATTAAGCGATAATCCGGATTAGTGAAGCAAAGGGTAGCCTTAAAAGACAGAAAAATCTTAGAATACAAATAAGCGAGAAACCTAATGACATGAACAGTGCTGAAGAAAATAAATAAAAATATATCAATGTAGGATCTTTATTTAAAAACTATAATTCATTCATCAATTGAAGACTCAGAAGTTGAAGTTGTTTTCGAAGAAACTGTCGAGTTTTTCTGAACAGACAAGTGACTCGTCTGCCTTCCTAAATATCATGTGTCTTTTAAAGTATGTAATGGACTGTGAACAACATTTTTCATACTTCCATCCGGATTAGCTGTAACCGGATTAGCGAGGGTTTACTCTACATGACATGTAAAAGGTAAGGTAAAGTTGCTTAACTAATTAAGCACCACGCCATGGATACTTATGGGGAAGTAGATGTATAGATCCACGTTTTCTTGACCTCGGCACTAGTTGGAAGTAAGTGGTCAGCTTCGCGCCCCGGCCGCTCTACCCCCAGGGAAACAGCACCCGGTACCCATTAAATAGGAGGTTGGGCGGACCACAGAGCCGGTCTGGACTAATTGGAGAAGTGGAAATTCTTAACCCTACGGGGACTTGAACTCCGACTCCTTGGTTGTTTATTCTGTACCAAGTCGCTATCCCGGCTCTTATGTACATGACATGTAATAAATATAATAATTTATGTTAAAAACTGTAATGAAGTATTGTTTAAAAATAACTATAAATTGGTGGATAGAAGAAAGTAATTTATGGCAATTTTAAACACAATTGCTTTCCTATCCTGATAATAGAGCCATACTGCATGGTCTTTACTGTTAAGGGGAATGTTATGATAGCGGATTGACCCGCGTCTGCGCAGACCGCCTCTGTAATGGTCCGCAGTTACAGAGAGCGGCTGTGAACCGCATTCATCTGGCTTACGTGGACCAAAAGCAGACTCATGTCATGCCTTCGGGTTCCATTTAATGTGAGCATTTTTTTTAGTTGCTGAGCGACCAGTAGTTTTTGAAAAGGATCTCTGCGTCAACAAGTTAGTTGTATTTTCATATAAAATCTTTCTGTCTGACTGTAGTGTCGCCCCCCTTTCAGAAATTCACATGACCGCCATTTTAACATTGTTAGCGTAGGTGAGAAACGCACAAATTTGAAATGGCCTTCAGAATCAAACAATATGAATCAAATTTCATGAAAATCTGATAAATTGTTCAGTATTTACTAATGGGATAAATACGTGGCACGTTGCCATAATTGCTATGAAAGCCTTTCATGAAAATGATTCTGTCATGCCATAGCAAGTGCCTCGTTAAACAAGCAGGCCAATAGTTGGAGTCAGACGTGAGAGATCTGCACGGTGTGTCCAGGATCCGTTAGGCCTTATTTTTTTTAAATTTGTCCTGCAATGCCATCTTTTGGCGAGTTGTGACGTTAAGATTCTTCAAGTTTCAGCTGTGGCTGTCTATAATTTCAAAGCGCAAGCATCGCTGCATCATGTGTTCTGACCTTGAATGTAACAGCACTGTTCTGACGCTCGTCGGAAAATGACGGTTGAACAGAGAGCCAACATCATATTTTGTTTGAAGTTAGGCAAAAGAGCCGGAGAAGCGTACGAAATTATGAAAAGTATGTGCAGTAGTGATTGTTTGATTCACTCGAACATTTTTCGATGGTATGCTATATTTCGTGACGGCAGGGAGGACATTGAAGACACTCAACGTGTATCAAAGCCGAGAACAAGTCGCACTGAAGAAAATGTGAAAAAAGTGACCAAAATCCTTCCATCAGACAGATGTGTTTCTGCAAGACTCATCGAGGAGCTTTTGGGAATACAGAAAAAGGTCTTTGCGCGGTTTGTACTGAACGCGCTGTCAGGCGATGAAAAACATGCCAGAGTGGAACACTGTTACGGTCGGCCCAAAGTGATACAAAATTTACAAAATCGATTGTTACTGGTGACGAGACATGGTCTTTTCAATACGAGTCTCTCACAAAGCGGCAGAGAGCAGCGTGGTTTAGCCCAAAGAAGCCGAAACCAAAGAAAGTGCGCATGCAAAAGAGTCGAGTAAAGACACTGCTAACCGTTCTCTTCGATTCCAAAGGAATCATTCACAAGGAATTTCTTCCAGAAGGTCAAACAGTGAATTCTGATTATTATCTCGGAGCCCTCAATCGTTTGTGGACGAGAATTCTTCGAATTCGACCTGAATACCGAAAGCAATTTTCCTGGTCGTTCCTCCATGACAATGCCCCACCCCACAAATCGAAGATCATCCGCAACTTTTTGGCCAGAAAAGGGATCACAGTCCCTGATCATTCTCGGTATTCGCCAGATTTGGCTCCAGCAGATTTCTGGTTGTTCCCAAAGTTAAGTTGGCGATGAAAGGAGACCGCCACGACACCATCCAGGACATCCAAAGGGAATCTACCGCAGTTTTAAATGCGATTCCACAAAAGGAATACAGTGATTAATTTCAAAACTTTTCAATCGATTCCAGCTACGTATTAATTGAGAAGGAGACTATTTTGAATAAAAAGAGTAAAATTTTGAAAATATTTCACGTCTTGTATTTTTAATGAACACAGTCCTAACAGAACCTGGACCCACTGTATATATCACTGAATAGTCAGTCGCGTA